TGACCTCACCGCCCGTTTGGCCGAGTAGCGTGGCGCCCGTAGTTAGTTAGGGGTTAGGACTCCGTTTGTTTGTAGACACGGGATGAGGCTCGAGAGAAGGAAGAGTGGAGGTGAGGGAGAGAGTGAGGGTTTGATAAGGGGAGGGCGGAGGAAAACCCCCGTGTACACACAATCGTGCCATTGTACTGCGTGATTTGTGAGGACGATTTTTTGACTTCCGTTCAGCAGGGGGTCCAAAACCCAAACCCCACAAAGCAATGTAATGGGAGATACAGCTAAATTATCAGGAACCCTGAAGTTAAGGGGTTGATCAATTTATTGCTCCAAGGACCCCTCCCCCTTTCTCTTTCTCTCTCTCTCTTTCTGTAACGAAAAGAAGAATGTGAGGTTTTTCATGAAAGATATCTTTTAAACAGAAAAAATGGATCACGAATTAAATAAACAAAATTTTTAAGAAGTACTTTTACAAGTTTAAAATTTTTTTTACTAATCAAAAATATCAACCAAAATAAAATGAATTTTGATTGCAAAATAAAAAAAATGATGTGTATCGCAAAAGAATTTACTTCCTCTAAATAAAATAAAACCAAAAATAAACACTGTAATTGATGATGAATAATTATAAAATCTAAAGTTAAAATAACAATTCTCATTTGAGGTTTCATAAATCAATATTCTCTCGTGCAGAAGACAATTAACTGCTTGTATGAGAGATGAGCTATTATAAATTGCGATAATATCTCTTGTTTCGAATTGCTCACTGCAAAGAAAGAAAAATAGTATCGAATAATTATTTACTTTAAACATCTCCCAATAATTAACAGTTTCGGGTGAAACTTTATTCAATTAAAAACTATTGCTCTAGAAAATCTGAAAATTTACCGTTCTCATTTTTCAAACAATGTTTTTTTGCAAACTTCAAGGATTTATTTTTGAAAATAAAATAAACTTTTGAAACAATGTTGCTAGGTAACGCAAAAGTATCCAATTAGCAACAAAATTTTTTCAAAAAGGACAATTTTCTGTTTTTACCCTATTTTTAAGACGAGCCTTTATATTATCTTGTTTATGCAGGCCACGCTTATTTGCAAAATATACTCACATTTCGAAAAGCATTTCCCTTTTGCAACTAGACGTGACCTGCTTAAGAGAAAATTATAAAAGGAAGAGTCTTGAACAAGTGGGAAGTGCTTATAGTCTTTTTGGAAAGAGGCGTGGCCTACATAAGGTGGGCGGAACACATGCGTGTCTTATGAAAAAGTGGGCGGTGCTGATAGTTAATAGGAAGAGCCTTAACTATTTATGTGGTTCCAACTAAAAGTAGATGGTTACTTTGGAAAGGGGAGTGGCATACGCCCACTTCCAACGAAGATAATTTTAGTAAACAGAATAAGCCCTAAGAAGAAGGCGTGTCTATGTAATAGTAAGTGGGTTTCTTTTTAAAAAGATATTGGACTTCGACGAAAGGCGTGGCTTACAGAAAGTGGGCGGAGCATTTTGAATAGAGGTAATGCTTAAGAATTGTAACTCCCCTTGATAATTAGTAGGCGGGGCTTGAAAAATCGTACCTCCCATTGATAATTAGTGGGCGGAGCTTTAGAATTGTAACTCCCATTCATAATTAGTAGGGGTGGCTTGCAGAAAGTGGGCGGAACATGTTAAAAAGAGGCGTGTCATTTAACAAAGTGGGCGGTGCTGACAATTAATAGGAACCATTTTCGTGCCTCTAACTAAAAGTGAATGGCTTTTTTTAAGAGGCGTGGTTTACAGAAAGTAGGCGGAACATTTAGCAAAGGGGCGTGGACTGTAGAAATGTGGGACACAGTCTGTGTAAATAGGAAGAGCTCCATTAAAATTCGTTTCTATGTAAAAGTAGGCGATTCCTTTTTTAAAAAGAGAGTGTGCGGAACTTATTTAAAAGAGGCGTGTCCTTAAAAGAAGTGGGCGGTCATTATAATTACTAAGAGGGGTCTTAACTATTTTTGTGCAGAACAATTTTAAAAGTGGCGTGTTTTAGAAACAAGTGGGGGGTACTGTACCTTTTGTAAATTAAGTGAAAATACATCAAAATTAGAAACTATTTAATTTTTTAAAGTTACTTTTTCAATAAGAAAACTTTAATAAACGCCGACTTAATAATAAAAATGAAAAACAGATTTTATTTTGGAGAAAGAGAAAAAAAAGTAACAAACTTGAAAGAAGCATTTTAAGAGAAAAGAGGTCTAGAGAAATATGAAGGCATATTTTCGCAGGCTAGGGTGAGAGAGAGGGGGGAGGGTGGAAAAAAGGAGGTTAGAAAAAGAGCTGCCATCACGTGCCCCGTGATATTAGTTCATATATCGCGAGTAAACATGCAGAGGAAGAAGCGTGTAAAAGTAAAGATCCTGCGGCCGAGAAGGCACGTATTTGATGTAAACCACAAAACTCGTCCTCTGCCCCGTCTTCAGTTGGTCGCCTTGGGAAACATATTGAATCTTATGAATTTTTAGAACTATACAGTCGAAAGGGAAAATTTATTTTTCCCCGATTTCTATTATCATCATCATGTTAGAATTTTTTTTCCCCTTAAAATTTTTCTTTTAGAGAGAATTATAATTTTTAAAAAAATGTGAGTTTTATTTATATACATGCTTTGGTGACGAATTTTTTTTCTTCTTCTCCAACACGTTCTTGTTTTTAGCGTGAATTTTATTCATAGCATCGCTCGGCTAATAAAAAAAGAAGTACGCGTAGAGACATTAAACTGCTCATAGAAGTTTCTCTTTGCATTAACGTAGAGAAATGTCCTGCGTATGCATTTAGGTACAAGAGTGTGTACTTGCCTCGCTAACAAGGTTTAACATTTATATTGTAAATGTGAAAAAAAAGAAGGAAAGCATACAGTGAGATACGTGACCCAAACGTGATGATCGTAAAAAAGAAACTTTTTTTTACCCTTGCTCCTCTCTCGCTCACTCTCTGTCGATGATAAGGTACGTGTTTGTCTCTATAATGTATATCGTGGGTAGATTAAAAGGGAGAAAAAAAAACATTTTTTGTGTTGCGAAAAAAATTCTAAGTGTCGATATTCACGTACCGACAAAACTTAAATCCGAGTACGGTTTACGATCGGAGTTTATTCACACCACAACATCGGGATGTTAGCTCGTCAATTTCGTACTGACTCTTGTTTACTGTAACTCATACTTTCTCTCTCTCTCTCTATCCATTCTGTCTGATTCTGATAAAGATTTCAAAAAACCAACTGCTAATCTTGTTTCACTGACGGGTATAGTAAAAAAGAAGACTTGTTTTTAGATATAAACGGTTTTTGTTAGGTTTTTTTTTCATTCTTTAAAGAAGGTTCTTGTTTGGATAAGTATATTGTTCAAAGGTCTCGCTAGAATAAAGCGGGTACACAGGCATGCCAGCTTAAAGGGAAATGAGAATGAATGTAATAATATATTTAATATTCGCCGGGTCTCAGCCTCCTCCACTCTCGGTATAACAAGTCAACCAATATTCTCGCCCCATTCTGGCCCACTCACCCTTCTTTCTTCTCCACCCTTTCATTCTCCTCCTCTCTCTTTCTTTCTCTCTGTCTTTCTCCTTCTCTCTCGTAGAAACGTTCCCTATCAACATTTCTTTTCATCCCCTCGAACCTCAACCGCCCACATTCAAAGTGCACCGACATTATTTCCACTGTAACCAATACCACAGGACAGACAGCGAACAAAAAGCAGTTACTTCCTCTAAGTGCTAGAAGCAATCCTTTTTATATTTCAAATTCAAATCGATCTCAATCTAATGTTTCTGAATAATTATTTTGCTGTTTTTACTGAAAAAAGGGTGGAGTCTTGAAAAAATGTGGGCAGTGCCAAAAAGAAGGCGTGGACGAACAAAAGAGGGCGGGGTTTAAAATAATATAACTTATTTCAATTATCTGAAGGCGATGCAAAAAAGAAGGCGTTGACTAACAAAAATGGGCGGGGATAGTAAATTTTTACTAAAAAGGGGCTTTTTATGCAAAAGATAGGCGGGGCCAATAAAGAAGGCGTAGATAATAATTATTTTGCTGTTTTTACTGAAAAAGGGGCGGAGTCTTGAAAAAATGTGGGCGGTGCCAAAAAAAGAAGGCGTAGACTAACGGAAAGGGGCGGAATTAACAAAAATTTTACTCAAAAGGGGCGTGTTTTAAAAAAAATGTTGACAGTGCCAAAAGAAGGAGGCGTAGACTATCAAAAAAGGAATGGTTAACAAAATGTTTACTGAAAAAGGGCGTATTTTGAAAAAATGTAAGCGGTACCAAAAAGGGACGCGTAGACTAACAAAAAGGGGCGGAGTTGATAAATTGTTTAATGAAAAGGGCGTGTTTTTAAAAACTAAAGGCGATGCAAAAAAGAAGGCGTTGACTAACAAAAATGGGTGGGGTTAATATTTTTTTTACTAAAAAGGGGCGTATCTTAAAAATATGGGCGGTGCTAAATGAAAAGACACAGACTAAAAAGGGCGGGGTTAGTAAAATTTTTACTCAAAAGGGGCGTGGTAAGAAAAATGTGGGTGGTATTAAACGAAGTAGCGTAGACTCTCTAAAAATAGGAGTTTTTAAAAATTCCGTGCCGAAATAAAAAGTAGGAGTGTGTAATTTAATAAGAGGCGTTCTATAAAAAAGTGGGCGTTACATTTATCGAATAGGGCGGTTCCATGAAAAGTGGGCGTAACTTTCTTCCGAAAATGGGTGTGTTTAATAAAGTTTTTATGGTTTTAAAAAAAGTAAGCGTCAATTTTTTTTTGCAAAATGGGAGTGTTTATAAAAAATTACTGCTGTTTCTTCAAAGTAGGCGTTTCTTAAAAAATGTCTGTTCCTAGAAAAATGGGCATTAACTTTTTTTAAAAAGTGAGTGTTTAAATTAAGAAGGTTCCTTAAAAAGTTTCCTCGTTGATAAAAAGATCTGCACTTATAACTGGCTTTTACTGTTTACGAATGAAAATAATTATTCTTAATTGTAAAAAAAACTCACCAAAATTGTTATGAAAACCCAAGATTCCGCTGCTGGAGAGAAATTGATACTGATAATGATGGTGGAGAGTAAAAGTCCTGAAAAAAAAGAAAAATTATTTATTTATATATCAATATTTGAGAATTAAAGTGAGTAATAAAAGCCAAATAAGCAATAGTGATTTTTTTTACATTTTTATTAAATTGTGTGCTTGCTTGTAGATAATCGTCATAAAAAAAAGAGGATTGGAGATGGTGGTGGGGGGAGGAGGAGGGGATGACAGAAAAAAGGGAAGCACGGTTATTCCATTATCCGGTATCGGACTCTCTACGACTTATATCGTGCTATTATCCTGACCACTTAATCCACAGTTTGGTTCGCAATAGTACGCAAAACTTCCATTTAAAATAAAATTTATTTCATACAACAATATATAATAAAAATAAAAATTTTCGATTCTATACATAAAAAGCAGAAAAAAACTTTTTTTCTGTTCTTTATGGGCTAATAATGAAAATCCAATTAATTCTTTTTTTGTTAATAATTTACAGAGTGAAAAAGCAAAAAATTAAAGTTTTAACGAAACGAGAATTTTAATTAATATTCTCAGCAATTTGTTCAATACAACAGTTAAATTAAATTGCTCTTTGTATTTATTAAATATTTAATAAATTTTTAATGTTTTAAAAAAAGCGTAATTTGCTTACAATGACTTTTTAATTATTTTTATACGACTGGTATTTCACTTTTTAAATATTCATTTCCCGGGAATTTTTCAATTTACTGTAATTCAATTTGACGAAATAATTAAATGTTCTGGGAAATGTTAATAATTAAATTAATTTTGGCGCGTTTTTTGTAATTTAATCAAAATTTTGATTTAGAGAATACAACTTGTGTGTCATTACAGTTTATTGCTCTCACTGATAGAAATATATAACAATTTCTGATCCTGGCATTTCTATATGTAAGTGTGTGTGTATGTGTGTTAGTACGTAACACGTATCCCCTATCAGCAACCGATGTTCAACAACACGTGGGCGAAAGGAAGAGAAGATGCCTCCTTTTCTCAACACTATTACACAAACGAAAGTGCATTCATACAAAATTTATAATCGAAACCAATCGTGTTTCTTCGCCCACATCTCTTTTTATTCGCAAAAATCGATTTTCTCATCTCTTTCAAAGCTCTAAATACAACGATCAATGTAATAAACAAAAAGAAAACATTCAATATTTGTCAATACAAATATACAATGACTAAAAAATTTTTTTCCTTATAGCAAATTAAATTATTTTCTAAAGATTTTTCAAGAATACATTTTTTTAATAATAAAAATACTAAATCTATAATTTATGGACGGGACTTTCAAACTGTAACTCCCATTGATAATTAGTAGGCGGGGCTTAAAAATCGTACTTCTTATCAATAATTAGTGGGCGGGTCTTTGGAATTGCAACTCCCATAGGTAATTAGTAAGCGGTGCTTGACTATTACACCTCCCATTCATTATTAGTGGGCGGGGCTTAAAAATTGTACCTCCCTTTGATAATTAGTGGGCGGGGCTTAAAAATTGTACCTCTCCTTGATAATTAGTAGGCGGGGCTTGAAAACTACACCTCCCATTCATTATTAGTGGGCGGGGCTTAAAAATTGTACCTCCCCTTCATAATTAGTGGGCGGGGCTTAAAAATTGTACCTCTTCTTGATAATTAGTAGGCGGGGCTTGAAAACTACACCTCCCATTCATTATTAGTGGGCGGGGCTTAAAAATTGTACCTCCCCTTGATAATTAGTGTGTGGGGCTTAAAAATTGTACCTCTCCTTGATAATTAGTAGGCGGGGCTTGAAAACTACACCTCCCATTCATTATTAGTGGGCGGGGCTTAAAAATTGTACCTTCCCTTGATAATTAGTGGGCGGGGCTTTGGAATTGTACCTCTCCTTGATAATTAGTAGGCAGGGTTTGAAAACTACACCTCCCATTCATTATTAGTGGGCGCGGCTTAAAAATTATACCTCCCCTTAATAATTAGTGGGCGGGGCTTTGGAATTGTACCTCTCCTTGATAATTAGTAGGCGGGGCTTGGAAACTACACCTCCCATTCATTATTAGTGGGCGGGGCTTAAAAAATGTACCTCCTTTTGATAATTAGTGGGCGGGGCTTTGAAATTGTACCTCTCCTTGATAATTAGTAGGCGGGGCTTGAAAACTACACCTCCCATTCATTATTAGTGGGCGGGGCTTAAAAATTGTACCTTCCCTTGATAATTAGTGGGCGGGGCTTTGAAATTGTACCTCTCCTTGATAATTAGTAGGCGGGGCTTGAAAACTACACCTCCTATTCATTATAAGTAGGCGGGGCATGAAAATTGTACCTCTCCTTAATAATTAGAAGGCGGGGCTTGAAAACTACACCTCCCATTCATTATTAGTGGGCAGGGCTTAAAAATTGTACCTCCCATTCCTTAGTAGTGGGCGGCGCTTAAAAATTGTACCTCCCCTTGATAATTAGTAGGCGGGGCTTGAAAATTACACCTCCCATTCATTATTAGTGGGCGGGACTTAATAATTGTACCTCCCTTGATAATTAGTAAGCGGGGCTTTGGAATTGTAACTCGCATTCATAATTAGTAGGCGGGGTTAAAAAATTGAAGCTTCTATCGATAATTAGTGGGCGGGACTTTAGAATTGTAACTCCTATTGATAATTAGTGGGCAGGACTTGAAAATTGTACATCCCATTGATAACTAGTGGGCGGGTCTTGAAAATTGATCCTCCCGTTGATAATTAGTGGGCGGGGCTTTACAATAGTAACTCCCATTGATAATTTGTAGGCGAGGCTTTTGGGTGGGCATGGTTATAAATGGGAGTTAACAACTTTTAGTCACGCCTACTATTTTTCTTTAAACTTTTATAAAAATGTTTCCCCTTTAGAAGCATACAGTGGGCGGAGAAAATATTGGGTAACGCCTACAAATATTTTAGCCACGCCTCTATTTAATGGGTGGTAACAATTTTCTTCACCACGCCTACAAAAATTGATTACCCCAAATATTTATTTTTTTAACTAAAGGACAGGCTAGAAAATAGAGTAAAAAATGAGTAGGTAATGAAGAGAATAAAACATTGAAATAAATTCGAGCAATAAAAAAGAGTAATTTTATTACAGACTGAGTGATTGATTCTGATCTGATTTAGTAATGATGGGATATTTATAAACTTTGAATTATTTTTGAATTCAATTCTCGTATGCTTGAAGGAATGACGATTTATTTCGTGACCTTTTGGTCTTGCCAGGAACATCGTGTCATGTCACTAGACAAGTGAATGGCCCCCAAGATCTTCGATCGAGTGCTGTATACGATCGATCATTTGTCGGACTTTTCTCTCTCTCTCTCTCTCTTTCGGTATCTTACAGATCGAGATATTCGCCACCAGAGTCGATCTGTAAATCTTGGTTAATATTTCAGTGTAACAAGACAAACGCAAAATGTAAAAAGGGAGAAAATGAAAATTTTGAATGCGTTTCTTCACTTCGATAAATTATTTAAATCACTAGTAAAAGAAACATTTTTTAAATCTTATAACTCTTATTTTACTTTTTATCGATAATAGTCTTTGATTTACAGACATGGTCCAACCTTGACTACACTTTTTTAAAATGTTTATAACTTTTATGATTTTTAAAAAACTGTTTTTGTAAACTATAATAAATTTTCAAAAATGATCTATTACGAAATATAATATAACTCGAATAGACATCATTTGACAATGAATCTAAACCTGCTTTTGGAAATAGTCATGATATTTTAGTGTATGTATGTGTATTTGAGAGAATGAGAGACAGAGAGTGAGGGAGAGAGAAGGTTGCATCCAGATGATATTTCCGAATCGGGATATTGAATTCACGCCATTTCTGTTTTGACGTATCGCCATCAATGCGATACGATTCATCGGAGCCTGGGACCGCGTTTATGTGAACGAGAGAAGGAAACGATTTTTTACCCTAACAAATAGCCTTTTGCGGTTTATCGGATTTTCCGAAAATACCAAAATATATATATATATATATATATATCTAACCTTACACATTGTAGAGACAAAATTTTGTAACGACACCACTAACTTTTAGTATTAATTTTTTTTTGTTTCAAACAAACTTTTCTATACAGAAACAATACAAACATGTTTCTAAACAAAAAAATACAAAAAAAGAATTTTACTATTCTTTAGAAAGACATTCTATTCTGATGGATTAAATTTGTTAAGATTGAACAAAAACGATATCTCTCACACACACGTTCTATTATTATCAACAATACAAACGAATGTACCGAGTTTTAGCTCACAACCAATTTTCGTTGCGATTTCCGTCGCGTCGCACTGAACACTTCCGGTGTGTAACACCCATTTTCGAGGAATATACCATATATACATACATATCGACATCTATAAGAGGGGAAATTGCAGGGGAAATTCGAAAGTTCACACGATATACATGATTTCGGATCGCCTGACCCGTCATCGCCCTTTTCAATATTCTCAATTCTGATATTTCAAAGGAATTAAAAAAGAAAATGTCTTTTTCGGAAAAATATTAATTTTAATATTTTTTATCAAAAAAAATTTTCTAAACCGAGAAATTTATAATCATATAAGCAATCACTAAACTCTTCTTTGTATAAAATGAAAATTTACATTAGAAATAATTTTTATTTAAAAAATAGGAGCTATAATTGGAGACGGTTTTCGTAATTCTCACTCACGAACTACAAAGAGACGATAGCTAATTTCATTACACGCCCACTTCACAATGGACACGCCCCTTTTGGGCGTATTTTAATAAAGTGCAACGCCCCTTTGACATAACAACACTAAAAGGGGGCGTGACTTAATAAAATATTACGCCCCCTAAGTTAAAGACACTCTAAGGAGGCGTGTCTTATTATAAATCTGGTTTTTATTCCAAAGTTTATTAACCATTAAGTTTGTGAACCACGCATCTTATGTCTCAAGTAGGCGAGTCTTAATATAAACAACTACGCCCCTTTTGTAAACGTGTTCTAATAAAAAACACGCCTCTTTAATGGGCG